TATTTTTCACAAAAAAAGACCATTGATTAAAAAAAAAAAAAACAACTTAAACCTATTGCAACTACTAAGGAGACAAGATGAACGTCAGCGCTACCTATCAGCATGTTTTTCTCCAATTTAAAAATCTCAGCTACACTGTCAGCCCCTCCAGCAGAAGAGTCTCAAGTGAACCAAAAGCCTATGAGTCAGTCAGAGCCACCTTTTATTTTGGTAGCATTTCCTATGGTATTGAACTGATGTTCAAAAGGACACGACTGAAAATTGTTTTCCATCCACCTTGTAGAAGACTATGAAATGGTAATTGCACCAAGGCCTTGTTTTCCTTGAATGCATGTTACATGAGCTCCCTGTGCATGCTGGGGTTCTCTTCAAGTGTGGCTCTGGTTTCCTCCTACAGTCCCAAATCTTGCATGTTAGGTTAATTGAACTGAAGGAATACACATTAATTTCTGGAGCAATTCACGAGCAAGGGAAGGCAAGGTGAATGACTGGTTAGCATGTCCACTTCATAGTGCAGAAGTGAGGGATTTGAAACCATCCTCGGCCTTCCTGTGTGGAGTTTGCATGTTCTCCCCATGTTTGCGTGGGTTTTCTCCAGGTACTCCGGTTTCCTCCTACATTCTAAAAATATGTATGGAAGGTTGATTGGACGCTCTAAATGGTCCTGAGGAGTGATTGTGTGTGCGAATGGTTGTTTATCTATGTGTGCCCTGTGATTGACTGCCAACCAGTTCAGAGTATACCCCGCCGATTGCCTGAAGACAGCTTGTGAAGATAAAGCAATTCAGATAATCGATGGATGAATTCATTAGCAGGATAAATTATATTAAATTCAAATAAGTCAAATGGCAGCATTGCTACATCTATTAATCATCTCATGATTTATCCATTGTGTTGGATATTTAATTATATGATTTCATGGTGGCATGGGCATTGGACAACATATTTATTTATTTATTTATTCGCGCAAAAACATTTTGGCTTGACCCACGAGACCAGTTGTTCTTAACCTTGTTAGAGGTACCGAACCCAACCAGTTCATATGCGCATTCACCGAACCCTTCATTAGTGAATAATAGAAATATGATTTTTTACAAATTCAAGACATGAAAAAACACATTTATTAAAAACAGAAAAAAAGTAAATACAATTAGTACAAGTATAAAGTATACGTTTTTTAACTGTGCACAAAATGAACCGGACAGTGATGGTCAAGCGGGCATGTCATAACTAATTGACATGTTGAGTCGGATGCTTCTTAACCTCCATGGGAGAGGCTCTGTCGAACCCCTGAGACTGATTCATCGAACCCTAGGGTTCGATCGAATCCTGATTAAGAACCACCGCACTAGACAAAGCAAGGTCCATAAAGGCATACCTGACCTCAACCCCACCAAACACCTTTGGGATGAACTGGAGCAGAGATGGTGAGTCAGGCCCTTTGTGCGGTGCAACATCAAAACTGAATGGAGGAAAAAATTGAGGCGTCCCAATTCTTTTGTCAACATAGTGCAATTTGTAATGTGGCTAAACATGGCTCTCTAGTGGTCAACTACAAAATTACAACTTAAGAGCAATGCAGCGAACACAATAGACACACAAAATTATCAAATTCCAATTACGGTTGCTGAACTTGTATCTTTTGTTATCTTGTACAAAATAATTAGGTAAAAATCCGGTGGTTTTCGATTCTGCTGTTTGATTATGAGCATATGGTGAAAAGCATAACAGACCGGCTAATGATGTTAAATAAAGCATGATTTACACATTTTATTTATCTTTACATTAGTGTTGCAAATGATTCGGCAACATTAACTCAACAGTATAATAACATGAATGAGTTTAGTTATTTAAAAAAAACTCTATACAAACATAAATAGCTCATTTAAGGTCACTTGAAATAATATTAAAAGCAATCAAATTCTGGTGTCTCTCATGGCATTGCATGTATTGAAAAATATCCCCAAAATGGGATGCTGATCGATGTGAGTTCACAACTTAAAAAGCGACTCCAATACTGATCTGCGAAGGCTCTGAATGTCCAAGTGCCTTCTTGGATTCCTGAGTGGTTTTGCCCTCTCCACATTCATCAGGCCCTTTGGGCACAAAAGGTGGGCAGAACGGTAGGAAACGGCTCCATGGCAAAGAAGATAAGTGCGCGCTCAGTCCAAAAGGCAGACCATAAACTTCTCTACTCTCCCGTGTGTTGATGGAGCTGTCCTCATGAGCTTTGTTCCAGGCCAGGATGCCTCGTTCCTCCTTTGTGCCTGTGAGACATGCACAAGTCAAAAGAAATGTGCATGCAAAACTAAACAGAGCTTTGCTTACAGATTTGCAATTGATGCATTCACATAGGTAAATGCTTCTTTTGGGAACCTTTCCTCTATTAGCTCAAAAATAGAACCGGATTTTTGTTTCTGTTACTGTGCCCAGGCAAAACAAAAAGGGTTGCTCTGGTGCCATCTTGTGGCATCGTGGTGCCAAAGGACTCTATTGAAGTGACTCCAGGAACTTAATTTATTTCAAAATAGTGCTCCTGTGGGGAGTTTGCATGTTCTCCCCGTGCCTGCGTGGATTTTCGCCGGGTACTCCGGTTTCCTCTCATATTCCAAAAACATGCATGTTAATGGAACACTCTAAATTGTCCTGAGGTTTGAGTGTGAGCGCAGATTGTTGTCTATGTGTGCCCTGTGATTGGCTGGCAACCAGTTCAGGGTGTCCCCCGTCTACTGCCCGAAGAGAGCTGGGATAGTCTCCAGCGCGGCTCTTGTGAGAATAAGCAGATCAGGAAATGGGTGGATAGTACTTTGCTGCTATTTTATCTAACAAGCAACTATAAAACCCTTTTCATGGGCCGTTGATAATGTGCGTACTTTTGCCATTTTCAGGAGGGCACTCCTGAGCCCCCTGCGAATAGCACCGTAACCAAAAACTGTGATTTGTTTATTTTTATCATTATTATTTTAAAAAGTAAAAATGGAAAAATATATGGCCATATCAATAGTCATGTTGCGGAAAGACTCGTTGCAATGCAAGCAAAACGCATACCGGGTGTGTGGGAGCCTGGAAGCCCGCTCGTCCCTCCAATGGCGGCAAGGGGCCAGTTCGCAGCATTGTCCGGGTTGAAGGTTTCCCAACCCGGTCAGCTGTCTATTAGACACGTCACAAGTAAGCAGTGACAGCTCAGACGAAGGCTGAAGTGACAACCGAAACTATCAGCTTGGTAAGAGTTTAGTTTTTTTTGTTTGTTTGTTATTTTTCACAAAAAAAGACCATTGATTAAAAAAAAAAAAAAAACAACTTAAACCTATTGCAACTACTAAGGAGACAAGATGAACGTCAGCGCTACCTATCAGCATGTTTTTCTCCAATTTAAAAATCTCAGCTACACTGTCAGCCCCTCCAGCAGAAGAGTCTCAAGTGAACCAAAAGCCTATGAGTCAGTCAGAGCCACCTTTTATTTTGGTAGCATTTCCTATGGTATTGAACTGATGTTCAAAAGGACACGACTGAAAATTGTTTTCCATCCACCTTGTAGAAGACTATGAAATGGTAATTGCACCAAGGCCTTGTTTTCCTTGAATGCATGTTACATGAGCTCCCTGTGCATGCTGGGGTTCTCTTCAAGTGTGGCTCTGGTTTCCTCCTACAGTCCCAAATCTTGCATGTTAGGTTAATTGAACTGAAGGAATACACATTAATTTCTGGAGCAATTCACGAGCAAGGGAAGGCAAGGTGAATGACTGGTTAGCATGTCCACTTCATAGTGCAGAAGTGAGGGATTTGAAACCATCCTCGGCCTTCCTGTGTGGAGTTTGCATGTTCTCCCCATGTTTGCGTGGGTTTTCTCCAGGTACTCCGGTTTCCTCCTACATTCTAAAAATATGTATGGAAGGTTGATTGGACGCTCTAAATGGTCCTGAGGAGTGATTGTGTGTGCGAATGGTTGTTTATCTATGTGTGCCCTGTGATTGACTGCCAACCAGTTCAGAGTATACCCCGCCGATTGCCTGAAGACAGCTTGTGAAGATAAAGCAATTCAGATAATCGATGGATGAATTCATTAGCAGGATAAATTATATTAAATTCAAATAAGTCAAATGGCAGCATTGCTACATCTATTAATCATCTCATGATTTATCCATTGTGTTGGATATTTAATTATATGATTTCATGGTGGCATGGGCATTGGACAACATATTTATTTATTTATTTATTCGCGCAAAAACATTTTGGCTTGACCCACGAGACCAGTTGTTCTTAACCTTGTTAGAGGTACCGAACCCAACCAGTTCATATGCGCATTCACCGAACCCTTCATTAGTGAATAATAGAAATATGATTTTTTACAAATTCAAGACATGAAAAAACACATTTATTAAAAACAGAAAAAAAGTAAATACAATTAGTACAAGTATAAAGTATACGTTTTTTAACTGTGCACAAAATGAACCGGACAGTGATGGTCAAGCGGGCATGTCATAACTAATTGACATGTTGAGTCGGATGCTTCTTAACCTCCATGGGAGAGGCTCTGTCGAACCCCTGAGACTGATTCATCGAACCCTAGGGTTCGATCGAATCCTGATTAAGAACCACCGCACTAGACAAAGCAAGGTCCATAAAGGCATACCTGACCTCAACCCCACCAAACACCTTTGGGATGAACTGGAGCAGAGATGGTGAGTCAGGCCCTTTGTGCGGTGCAACATCAAAACTGAATGGAGGAAAAAATTGAGGCGTCCCAATTCTTTTGTCAACATAGTGCAATTTGTAATGTGGCTAAACATGGCTCTCTAGTGGTCAACTACAAAATTACAACTTAAGAGCAATGCAGCGAACACAATAGACACACAAAATTATCAAATTCCAATTACGGTTGCTGAACTTGTATCTTTTGTTATCTTGTACAAAATAATTAGGTAAAAATCCGGTGGTTTTCGATTCTGCTGTTTGATTATGAGCATATGGTGAAAAGCATAACAGACCGGCTAATGATGTTAAATAAAGCATGATTTACACATTTTATTTATCTTTACATTAGTGTTGCAAATGATTCGGCAACATTAACTCAACAGTATAATAACATGAATGAGTTTAGTTATTTAAAAAAAACTCTATACAAACATAAATAGCTCATTTAAGGTCACTTGAAATAATATTAAAAGCAATCAAATTCTGGTGTCTCTCATGGCATTGCATGTATTGAAAAATATCCCCAAAATGGGATGCTGATCGATGTGAGTTCACAACTTAAAAAGCGACTCCAATACTGATCTGCGAAGGCTCTGAATGTCCAAGTGCCTTCTTGGATTCCTGAGTGGTTTTGCCCTCTCCACATTCATCAGGCCCTTTGGGCACAAAAGGTGGGCAGAACGGTAGGAAACGGCTCCATGGCAAAGAAGATAAGTGCGCGCTCAGTCCAAAAGGCAGACCATAAACTTCTCTACTCTCCCGTGTGTTGATGGAGCTGTCCTCATGAGCTTTGTTCCAGGCCAGGATGCCTCGTTCCTCCTTTGTGCCTGTGAGACATGCACAAGTCAAAAGAAATGTGCATGCAAAACTAAACAGAGCTTTGCTTACAGATTTGCAATTGATGCATTCACATAGGTAAATGCTTCTTTTGGGAACCTTTCCTCTATTAGCTCAAAAATAGAACCGGATTTTTGTTTCTGTTACTGTGCCCAGGCAAAACAAAAAGGGTTGCTCTGGTGCCATCTTGTGGCATCGTGGTGCCAAAGGACTCTATTGAAGTGACTCCAGGAACTTAATTTATTTCAAAATAGTGCTCCTGTGGGGAGTTTGCATGTTCTCCCCGTGCCTGCGTGGATTTTCGCCGGGTACTCCGGTTTCCTCTCATATTCCAAAAACATGCATGTTAATGGAACACTCTAAATTGTCCTGAGGTTTGAGTGTGAGCGCAGATTGTTGTCTATGTGTGCCCTGTGATTGGCTGGCAACCAGTTCAGGGTGTCCCCCGTCTACTGCCCGAAGAGAGCTGGGATAGTCTCCAGCGCGGCTCTTGTGAGAATAAGCAGATCAGGAAATGGGTGGATAGTACTTTGCTGCTATTTTATCTAACAAGCAACTATAAAACCCTTTTCATGGGCCGTTGATAATGTGCGTACTTTTGCCATTTTCAGGAGGGCACTCCTGAGCCCCCTGCGAATAGCACCGTAACCAAAAACTGTGATTTGTTTATTTTTGCTCTATCCTCCCACCACAGTCATTTTCTTTAATGACACAATGGTAAATAAAAAACTGCCAACATTTATGCAAAATATGAACATTTGTTATTTTGTGCTAGGTGAAGTACTCCAACAGTCATGTTAGCATTGAGGATAGTGCTCTACAACATGACAGTTATCGCAATCTAAACATTATATTCATATATTAAGTACATATGAGATAATCTGGGGTAGCCACGGCAACGATACACTCACAGACTCCCTTCTCCTTAGTAAGAGCCAGTGTTCAAAAACATCATGTTATTACCTCATTCTTTTTTTAATAAGGCAATGTGAAGCCATTTTTTCAGATTTCATTTTGTCTAATGTTTCATCGCCATGACTAAAATTCAAGAAACCAAACCTACCTAATGTGATGCACTATTACAGTCATCACTTGATTTTTAAATTAATTCAGAAATCTTAAAGCCATGCCTACAGTTATCAGAATGTGAAATGAAAACTTAACCATTGTAACTAAAATCTGGGAATTACAGATCATTTTTAAAGTCATACCTATACCCTACTGAAAGTCATGGAAATTAGTAGAGTATTACCTGGGATTGTGTTGTCCAGTAAGAAACCAAAGAAGCCTCCAACAAACATGCTGGTTGTGAGAAGAACTTGCAGCACCTGGTCTATCTCGTCCACACCTGGATGACACAGTGAAACCATGACACAATGTATTGTCTGTGTGTGCGCCTGTGAGTATGTGTGTGCACGCATGTTGGTTTGCGTATGCATTTTAAATATTTTTAAGTAACATAAAATGAGTCTTCTACCTGTAGAAATTGCTGTGGGGTTCTTCAGTGTCCAGTTTGGTATGACCAGACCCGAGAACATGGAGAAACCAAACACGAAGATGTTGCGAGATGAGTTCAAATCTGAATACTAGAAAACAAAAACAAACAAAGAAAAAAAATTGGAGCATTCCAAGTAACAAACACGTAACATTGTGCCAAAGTGCATCTGCATATCATTATCTCATATAGTATATGAACAGCTTAGCTTCAGTGTTGTTCATCATTTGCATTTCATCATATACAGCGCTCACCTGTAGAGTTGAAATTCCTGCAGCAGAAATGACCCCAAACATAACCATGAACATCCCTCCTATGACAGGCGATGGGATGGTCGCAAAAATGGCTCCCACTTTGCCAAAAATACCCATAACTATCATAAAGACACCCCCGGCAACAATCACCATACGACTGCCAACCTGTGGAGGAAGTAGAGGAAGTCATCCAAATGTTATATTCTCCCAACAATGTAAGCATCCCTTAATCATTTGAGCCTGGCACGGAGGACTCGCCTTGGTGATACCGAGGGCTCCCACATTCTCGCTGTATGAGGTGGTCCCATTTCCTGTGCCCCAGGCTCCAGCCAGCAGACACCCTAAGCCCTCTATCCCAATCCCCCGGTTGATTGCATGTTTAGGTGGAGGCGGAGCCCCGGACAGCCTGGCACACGCATGATAATCCCCAACAGACTCTATCATGGACGAAATCACACCAGCAAAAATGCCAAGTACCCCTGCCAAGCTCACAGTGGGCATCCCCCATTGACCTAAGTGAAAAGAATGGGACACGGAGTTCATGACATATCATTCTTATCCTGTTTTCATTGAGTAAAACCTGACGGCTTCTTACCGGGATAGGGAAATGTGAGCCAAGGAGCTTTACCCACGACATCGCCTTTCAGATCAGTACGAGCCAGGTAGCCATACTGGCCTGGATCAGAAGGAAGTACACTGTAGGTTGTTAAAATATAACACAGGAGCCAGGACAAGGAGATTCCAAGCAGAACCTGAAGGGACAAACAATGTCACTTTAACTTATAAAAGCTCCAAACTACAAAAGGGTATTTAGTGTATTTTCTATGATTGACAATGGCTCATAAAATCGATCGTTACTTTTGGCATGGCAGAATTTCTCTGAAAGATCTGAACGCTTGTATTCCATTGTTGTTTATTAGAGTTGTGCCCCCCGAAACGTAGCTGAGACTGAATGAACAGCGCCTCTGCTGCTTATAGCCAAATAATGCATTTCATTCAGCCTAACAATAATGACTGAGTCAAGTCTTCTGCCCATCCCTTGTCCAAATGTGACGTGATTTCATACATACGCTTGCACAAAAATATTGTTAAGAAAGAAAATTCAAAATATGTTACATACGGGGAGAATCTGGAAGATGTAAACACGACGGAAGTGTATTTTTTTGTCCTTGCTGTATGTCGGCAAAGGGACAGGAATGTGACGAAGGTACTGTGAGAAAATGACGATCAGAGTAGTGGTTCTGCATGAGGAAAGGAACAAAAAAATCACAATGTTAATGCAGAAGATGATTCAAAAGCATTTGGCAAAGTACTGCTACAATAGTAGGTTCTTGGATTGTTGGACTTATAACACGACAGCTGTCATGCTTCTGGGGGAGTTTAAGAATTGACCACACATTTCAATGGAGAGCTGACACACTGAGCAGATTTATTGAAATGTATAAGCTCTGTGTTTTGACACAAATATATTTAAGTGGGAACACATTACGGTATTGTTACAGTTGAAAAAAAATCACCTGAAATAAAACAGAACTATAATCACCCGAGCATAAATCGGAGTTGATAATTGACTCATTGGTAGTATTACTTACAAGGTAGAAATTCCCCAGTGGTTCCCTGCACGTTCACCAGCAGAATCAAAAAGAGACAGCCCAATGAGAGAGATGGTGGGCGCAATGGTGAGAGGGCCGATGAAACGCATGAAGATGCCAATGAGGCCAGAGAAACCAACAAACACCTGTAAGAGTGAGCCCACCATAATGGACCCCTGCACCTAAAGGCAAACATGGCACAGTAAATGATCATAAAGTCAGCAGTCGCAAATATATTTCTAGTTTTGGTTTGGTTAAGAAAATAATCACAATTTGATATACAGTATATATATATATATATATATATATAAGATGTATATTACACATCATGCCAGTCTGAATAGCAATAGATTTTAAATCCAGGCTTACATTGGTAGAAATTGATAGAACTCCCTTGGATTAATTGTTAAACCTAAAATCGGCACTACACTCGCACACTGAAGAAAAAAATCAACGTACAAAATGGGCCACATACATACATTGCAAGGCAGAAAAACACAAATCCCATCATGCAACGGCCGGGAGAATCTCTGCCCCGTCTCACTTCATGGTTGAGCAAATACTACAAATCTCCTTTGTAGTACGCCTGTACTTCTCATGACACCCTGAAATTACTTAAATAGTGCTTATTAAGGAGTTAATTCTCGATTTCTAGTGTTTTGAACAAATGAAAAATAATTTAAAATTGAATTTGTGTGTTTAACACTTCAACACAATTTTTCATTGTTGACATTACAACTTAACCATTACAAATGATGAAGATTACTTTTTTTCAGTGCACCCATGAATGTTTTCTGTCTTCACAGAATTGGGCTCAAAGTTGAGTGACACAGTGGAGACTGAGGATTTTTTTTTTGTGTGTGCGTCTATTTCGGAGTAAAATTAGCGGATGCAATATAATGGCTTATATTAATTGTTTGAAACAAAAATAATTTATTTTTGAAGGTTTGAAGAGCTAAGCAAGACTTTTTTTTTTTGCGAGATAACGGCAACGTTTTTCAAATTTGATGAAAGGGTTTTCTTATTTGTGTGAACAGTTTTGCAAAAATAGCCAATAGTTAAAGTGGCATTTAAAGTCATTCTCACAGAATACTAATTGTTTACAATAGAAAGACACCAGGTTAGAAACCTGTGTGTGTGTGTGTGTGTGTGTGTGTGTGTGTGTGTGTGTGTGTGTGTGTGTGTGTGTGTGTCCATGTTTTGTTTTAAATTGGACCCAATCTGACACAGCACATCGGGGTCAATTTGCATCGCTTTGAAAGCTGTGATGTCTCCCCTAATGAACTTACTGCTCTCATTCGAGTCTGCCACACTTCTATGAATTCACTAGATGACGTATTGACGAGGCTTGCGTTCTGCGTCCAAGCAGGACAAGTCCATTCGGGCATTGACAGCATCGCCATGGACGGTGCAAGCAATGTGAATGTTCCACCTTGGAGAATTGGCAGCCTGCAAACCATAAGAGAAAATACATAATGATAGATCATTTGATTTATGTCAGTCAGGATGTAGCCTGACTATTCATATAATCGGCTAGGTTTTTTTTTTTTTTTTTTTTTAAACCACATCAAATTGGGAAAGAGCTGATGGAAACTAATGAGAAAAACATGCTCGCACTCTTGGAAGGGTGACTATGCAAACATTCTGCCTGTCACATGCAATCTATGATGGAATAGATTTCATCAGGTCATAAAGTTGGATTAGGTCATAAAGTTGGTTTCGATTAGATGAGAGTCAACTTTAATGCCATAACATGCCACAAGTACAAGGCAACAAAATGCTGATTGCATCCAACCAAAAGTGGATAATCAGGAATTCAATAGCATATACAGTACAGAAGATGTAAGGCCTCATATAATACAATGTAGACTCTAAATGTATGTCAACACTAGAAAATGTAACCTCATGTGTGTTGTTTTTGTTTCAGGTTTATCTGCTCCTGAGAATTTGGGCAAAGACAAAAATGCACCAGTGGCCCTGAGCTTGTGGAATGTGGATTTAGCAAGAACAAGATTCTGTTGATAAGTTGGGGAAATTCTTTCCCTAATCCTGCTCTGACACCGATATTCAGCATGACTTGGACGGCACGCGTATTCATTCACATTCAACTGTAAGATTTCATGGCTCTCCAAAAATAAACATCCAGTACGAAAACACTGACTACCAAACACGTTACAGTTATATACCAATGCTCCTCAACAAGCAAATACATTTGCAATAATAAAACAAAAACTAAGCATTGTGAACTTACAAACGGTGAAACGTTTATACAGCCTTATTTTGATTCGATTCCCGGAAGAGAAGGTTTCAATTGAATTATATTTTCATAAAATTCACAATTTAGAGGGGTGCATTAAATACATTTGGTTCAATACACCCTCCTTCTCCTGCCTGCCTGCTTTTTGGGTCCAATCACACACTCATGACAGACATATGAAAACAAGTGTTTATTTTAATCACTGCATTCTGTACCTTTAATTATCTTTTTATAGCCTTTATGTCTCTTCAAGCACTTCGGATTTATGACTGAGTCTTGTCAAATCAACAACACAACAAGTGGCTTTCTTGTTTGCTATACACAGTAATATACACCGTACACATTCTTTGCAATGGAAATGCCACTGATAACACAGAATGTATTCTTTCGTTCCACTTACCTGACGCCAAAAGTAACTTGCAGCAGAGTGCAGATTCCAGACATGAAGAAGATGGTGCAAATCAGGTGACTCTGTGTGACGCCATCATGTTGAAGACACAAGCCTTGTGAGAGGATCAATGGGATGGCAATAATTCCTCCAAACGCCGTCAAGCAGTGCTGAGAAAACAAGATGTTTGAAACCTCAGTTATGAAATATTCTAAAGGCACATGACACATCTTTTAGTAGTGTGATAACAGCATGTGTGAACGCGCTGAACAGTGCATTATCGTGTGTAAATGTGTTACTTGTACCATTTGTGTTAAAGTTTCTTGCATAGAATATCTGGTTACTCATGTCTGCATGATATGATGTCATACGGGGCAATATACTAGCTCGGTGTTTCCCAACCTGAGCCGAGGCGCTCATTTCACATGAGAAAATACTCACACACCACCAAACAAAAATGTCACAAACTATTGAAATGATGATGATCTCATCTCAGTTTCCATTTGCTTCCAAATTTAAGCTTCTGTAAAAGACAGGCCTGTATAATTGCGTACTAATAAACACACATGACGCACACGCAAAGAAGGACAATAGTGATGGACAGGATGGTGGTATCGACTGTAAAGAAGCTACACGGTTGCACATAATACCGCATGGGAAAGTTTGCTGAATATATAACACAAGAACTTTATGACTAACTCACAACTGTGACTGAGGCGAATTTCGCCATTTGGTCCACATAGAGAAAACTATGCATGTCTAAACAAACCATGAAGAAAACGTCAAGTGACATGATAGCTTATGTGACCAAAGCATTTCATTTCATTGCGTTGCCTTATAGTGGTTTTGTTTGGATGCACAGTTGTCGTTTTGTTGACATACCTGAATACCAAGAAGGATACACAAGTACCAAGGTGGTACATCAGTGACGCAGTAAGCCAACTTATTGCCCTCTTCGTCCAGGGGAGTGTCAACATCTCCATGTGTTGCTTCAGGTACGTCGCAGAAGCGCTCCTCTAGCTTGAATGTGGCCAAAAAGATGAATAATCTCATATACTCTCATCATAATGAGTATAATTTGTGCTTCACTCAACATTCACAAAATTCCATTTCTTTCATCTCCTGTGCATGAACACAGTATATGATACAATTCCTTTAAGGACATTGAAGGATGAGAAAATTCATCAATCATTCTCTCTATATTTTTGCTGACATTTGTGTCTGGGTACTTCAGTTTCCTCCACCATTCCAAAAACATGCATATTCGGTGAACTCAAAATTTTGTCTACTAGAATTCATGTGGAGGGGGTACGGTAGTCGACCAGTTAGAACGTCTACCTCACAGTACAGAGATCCGGGGTTCGATTCCGGGCCCGGATTTCATGTGTGGAGTTTCCATGATTTTCTCCGTGCCTAGTGGTATACCACTTTGCTCCCACATTCTAAAAACTTGCATGCTAGGTTCATTGAACACTCTAAATTCTGCCTAGATGTGATTGTGAGTGTGAATGGTTTGTTTGTCGATGTGTGCCCTGTCTTTCGCTGGCCATCAGCTCAGGGTATACCCTGCCTACTGCTCAAAGGTCGCTGGGATTGGATCGAGCATGCCCATGATCCTTGTGAGGATAAGTGGGCTGGATGAATGGATCAAGGGAATTCATGCGGGTGTGAATAGTTGTATGTGAATATATACCCTGTGATTGACGAGTAACCATCCCAGGTTGTTACCCACAGCCATCTGGGACAGACTCCCTGCTAACTAGTGACCCTCATCAGCACATGTGCTATAGAGAACGGATGTATGTTTGTATGTATGTGAAGTGAAGAGAACCCAATTTTGTTCAATTTCTTGTTCATTTTGATATCTGATCATGATCATGTGACTCACTGTCAATGACACGAAAGAAATGGAATGTGAAATCCCTATCAAAGCGCCCTTTTTGGCATTATAATGCCATAATATTAATGTAAGAATTTGTTAAATCCATCCATTCATCCATTTTCAACAAATGATGAGGGTCTTGAGGGGTTGCTGGAGCCTATCCCAGCCGACTTCGAGCGGAAGGCACCCTACACCCTGAACTGGTCGCCATCAAGTCGCAGGGCACATATAGTGACAAATGACCGTTCAAACCCACATCCACACCATGACTGAGTGCGAACCCACCCCACGCTGCCCGCACACAAGTCAGGCGAGTGGACCATTTCACTATCAGTGACAAATTTGTTCAATGATTTGGGTTATTATCAAGAAAACCTTTGGAAAATATGTGTTTTTGTTGTCATTGATATATCAATCCAAACATATCTACCCTTACTTATATAAGGTGTTTCAAATCAACAGGAAGCTGAAGAAACAAGGGTGAGCTCTTAATTATTTTCCATGGAGAAACACACACACACACACACACGCACACACATTTATACTGCATTTACACAAGCAGTTTGTCGAATGGGAAAAGCTTAAAAAAAAAAAAGTCTCATGGAAGAGGAATTAAATGTACTCACTGCAAATGCGTAGTTGTCGAGACCATTGCTTTCCTTTTCTGGAGCCATCTGAACTTCAGATGGCTGTCATAAAATAGAAAACAAAAAAATGGAGAAATCATCAGTTGGAAGGGAGTCAGTACAGCCGAGGAGAAACGGAGAAGCGATCGAGTAAGGAGGTAGGGGAGAGAGAGGAGGGCAGTGTCGGAATGAAGTATCAAAGTTCAAACATGAGACTTTGCTTTTGTCGGTTGAAATGAGTCGCACCCACAGCTCATGTGAAGCCAATTAGAACAGTAACAGCAGCCTACTCGCTAGCCAGTGGTCAGCTGCATGAGTGGATACTCAGACAGCATTGATTTGTTTCCACGATTTAATTAGAAGGCAGGAATCTTAGACAAGCCAGAAACATTTAAAAAGTGGCCACCCCTTACGAATCATGATTTCTCTGAGTGGACTTATTTGAACCATAAGTAAGAAAGAGTGTAAGTAAGTATGTTTACAAGACATACAATGAACATTTATCAGAGATGGGAAGATTTGGAGTGCAAGTATACATGGCTTAAGTCTTAATACCACCGCCGATTGACTTATGCATGCACACACTCCGTGATGTTATCCATCCATCCATCCATTTCGAATGCGCTTTATCCAAACACGGGTCACGGCGGGTGCTGGAGCCTATTCCAGCTGTCTTTCTTCAGGCAGTTGGCGGGGGACACCTTGAACCGGTTGCCAGCCAATCGCAGGGCACGCACAAATGAACAACCATTCATGCTCACACTCACACCAAGGGAAAATTTTGAATGTTCAATCAGCCTGCCATGCATTTTTTGGAATGTGGGAGTAAACCAGAGCACCCGGAGAAAACCCACGCAGGCACGGGTAGAACATGCAAACTCCATACAGTAAGGCCGGAGCTGGAATCGAACCCGGTACCTCTGCACTGTGATGTTGACGTGCTAACCACTGGACAACCAGGCGGCCCACCTCCGTGATGTTTTGTCTTTTCTAATTCTACTAATACCAATCTGTTTGAAAATTAAATAAATATGGTTATTCTTATTTTATGGTTTTATTATGGCTGCAGTGCATGATTTACGTTTTGCATTTTTTCCCCATAATGCATGCGCAAGTCACTAGCCCGCTGCATTATGGGAAAATTCTCCCGGTACCTTTGTAGCACTTAACCTCCAAGTACGTTTGAACGTATTTGCGACTACATTCAAACGCACTTGCAAGTAGGTTTGAAGGTACTTGTGAGTACATTTGAACGTATTTGCGAGTACTTTTGGACAGATTTGCGAGTACCTTCAAATCTACTCGCAAGTAAGTTTAAACGTATTTCAATATGCTCAAACGAACTTGCGAGTACAATTGTACGTATTTTCCAGTCAAACTACTTTTTACTCCAGATTGACAGCTCCACGCTTGACCTCGCGGCCCCGGCGACCATTTGTCATCTGCGAAGTAAGCGACTTGTTTATTCGTGGGAGACGGTGTTAAAGTATCTGTGGTTCAAAGCTTGACAAAAGCTAATCACATCGCTGACCAAGGGGTTGGACTGGGGGTGTGGTATGCAAATATCGGGGGTAGTGTCTTTCTTGTATTTTGCATATGCAAACAATAAAAGACCGATGACGAGCACGATGTACTTTGAGTGTGATCGCGGAGCAACTCCCCGCCGTTCGCTCTGAGAGATCCGCTCCCGTCGGACTGTACCAACAACCTTCCCTGAGTCGAGTTCTTCTGTTTAAACTTGTCCGGGTATAACTCTGAAAGTCATGATTCTGTTTTTAAGATTACATTTGGTTTTGTTTCATCGTCTGGTTTCCTCGTGTGCATTTGTTTTCCTCGTTTGGTTTTGTTTCCACCTGTTCTTGTCATCTGGGTCCCTTGTGTACCAATCAGCTCCCTCAACTCTTTGTGTTGTGTCCAGGTGTTCCTTGTTGTCTCGTCAATTTGCTTGTATTTAGTTCCCCGGTTTCTGTCACTCTTGGTCAGATCGTTGCGTTATTGTCATGGGTTTTTTGTTTCTGTTGCTATCATGTTGTTTTGTTTTATTGTCATGGGTTTTTGTTTGTTTGTTTGTTTGTTACTTTGGTTCATTTGGGTTTTTCAGGACTTTGTTTGTGTTTTGGATTTGGTTTTTCCAGTGTACCCCTGCAAGTGTTTTCTGTTAACACATATTTGTTTAGTACTCCCCGGTTCTCCTGCGTCCCTGCTTTTTATTTTGGGTCCACTACCATCACGCATGCACACATGACAGGATTGGCTGCAGCACGCCTGTGATCCTCGTGAAGATAAGCTGATTAGAAAATGGATTTATATTATTATTATTTTTATGATTGTAATTTTTTTTTTTGTATTCAGTAAATCTGCCCCAGAGGGACAACGAGAATACTGATTATTTTACAACTGCAGTGCAAGATTTGCTCTTCACAGAATCAGGATTGTTCTCTGCCAAATCAACATTTTTTCTCTGCAGATTCCTTGGGGGACTACAAACCTGTGAACTAGTGTACCGGTACTTTACAGTAAAAATGAACTCATAATACTTAAGTACACATGACTTCGTGATCCAGTGAATAATTATAGTGTCGTCAATATTTTTTTTTAACTACACTGATAATAGTAGACTTTAGTTACCTTGCAAATGAAACATTTTGACTATTTTGTCAGTGTCTACTAGAGTGAGTTCATTACCTTTTAGAAAGGAAACTGTTTCAGCCATGGTGCAGTCCATTTAAATCAATTGTGAACACATACTGTACCTGCACAGTAGTTTTTCTATGCCTTATCCTGAACATGTGCTTCAGCTTGAGAAGTTCCTATAAAGTACGCTGCCGAACTATCACATGATGCAAGGAAACTATTGATGTTAATTTAATTTGTTCATTTTCCCCACAACCGTATTTCCCCGAAATTGTATTAAATAGCTTTAATCGTCCAAGCTTCTGATAACATCCCACATCCCTTGAATTACTGTGAGACGTTCCAAAGATGGAGTGCGTTTGTCCGTATTGGAATAAAACTCACACTAGTCACAGGATTAGGCCACACCAACACACATGGAAAATCCTGACACCAGAATATTTTGAGAGAATACAAAGTATCAAGTGCTTTGAAAGTAGCAACTTGTTCACCCATTCGGTCTAGCTATTATCTGGCTATTTCGTCAGACATGAATAATTATTTGGTCTGAAATCATAAGGTCAAGTCAAATCTGACATCAAACGAAGATTCCTCTTCTCGGGTAGCACGAATGAGAAACACTGTTGAGAATTGTTCATGAATAGAAACCGCAAAAGAATCTCCACGACGTGATTCAAATATTGTAAAAATAATAATCATAATAATAATAATAGTTTACATCTTGAAAAACAGCATGACTGAGGAAATTAAGCATGTGAGGGGAGCAAATCAACATTGTGACCTCGTTGGACACCCTCACTTGTGTGTGAATTGCACGAGTGACTGCGTGCAATTCAGAAGCATGCATGACGTGACGCCATGCAGTGACAAGATTATGTATTATTCTCAGCAAAACCATCTGCTGCTTTTTATTCATACTGAAGCAAAGGTTAAAATCGTAAGAATATCTCACGTTTGCACAAATTAGAATAGGCGCCTTACTGCGTACTTTTTGGCTGCACAGATTCTACAACAGAGGTCACCATCTCCGGTCAGTTTGGATTGGAGGAAGGAAACATCTAAAACATGCAGGATAGGAGCCGGAGTTGGTGATGACTCTTTTTCTACAACAAAATGAAGAAAATCATCACGGTCTTTAGTCACCCAGAGCACTACAACACGGACAGACAGACAGCAATAGTGAGACCGAAGTGTGAGCAAGGAAGTTGGCATACAGTACCTGGTAAGTGGAATGACTTTTTGACAGCTTATATTCTGTACCATGGTAGCAATGTTGTTTAGCATTAGTCTCATGATTTTGCAAAACCACTACTTGCCATGTTCAAACATTTTTTTTTCTGTCAAAGGTGTTTTGCCGCAATAAGTGGAACGGATGAGGGACACGTACCTCAAAGCAAAAAGAAAGGCGTTGTAGGAGAAAAAGTGTGTCTCGGCACCTTATAAATTTTCGCTCTGCATTCTGGTAGTTTTCCTTTGTTTCCTCCTCTTTATCCAACACATGTCTCTTGTTCATCAATAAATTGCGCATGTTGCATCTCTTTGGACCCAACATGGATGTCACATCAATATTGTACATATGTGTATTGAATGTGTACTGGATATGATGGCGAGAGAAAGAGAGAGTACAGCACATGCAGTACTTTTTCTGCATACACCACAAGAGGTCAGTATCAACCTTTCGTCCCACTACACTTGCGAGGTGAATCTAGGTGTGAGAGGCCACAGAAGGGCCAAGGTCATAAAGATTACTGCTCCAATAAATCCGTTGATAAGACAAAAGTAGGAGCTCCACTTTGGAGCTGGTGGTTATTTCAATTGATTCTCATTTTAACCACTGACCTTCACTTTAGCATTTAATCAATGTAATACATAAGGTGTACAATGTTGGGTTAGGACTACCACATTTAAAATCCAAAAATGTGTGCTGAGGCACCAGTGTAATATCAGAAGACATGAGTGTGCTCTTTGGAGACACTGACAAGAAAACTTTGAGATGCTGATTACAGTTTTCCTAGAAGTATATGCTGTTACATCGCGTCGCTCCTCCTCCATGACCATGTGATCCAAGTTGATTACAGTCCGCCAAGCAAGGGAGGACAACCTGAATACCCTCATCTTTCAGGGAGCAGAGTGCAAGATAGGCACCAAAGAGCAGAGGAGGAAGTCAGAGCAAATTTTCTTCACGAGAGCTGTCATTTGTGCTGTTTTACAGGGGTTGTGTGCTGAAGACTCCAACACTGAATGACATATAACACATTGCAATGCTGGAAATAAGGAATAGAGATGACACAGAGAGGGGGTCTGACCGGGAACCATGCAAAAAATTTTCTCATTCCATTGAGGAGATCCTGAGAAAGCCCACTTGCACCAGAAAAGAGGAAAAAGTTCATCGCAACTGGTCTGTTATCAAGGAGAACACCCGGATATCAAACCAGCTTGTAGGCGCAGGTATGCTCTTGACATAAGACTAATGTTACATACTTTATGCATGGATATACAATTTTCAATTAACATATTTGTTTCCCCTAAAGAAAGTCCGGAAATCAGGCACCATGAAGAATCTCCAAAATCCCCTGCAGAATGTATCAGTGAGTATCATTTGAAAATAATAATGATGATAATGATGATAAACCAAAGCGGTAACTAAAAAGATTTCCTTGCAATTTCACTTTTTTTTTTTCCAATGACAGTAGTGATCTAAGTCCCCCGTTATTGATAACATAATTATTCCAATTTATTAGGTGGCAGAAAAAAGAGGCAAACCAGGATCACTTATACACCATCGCAGGTACAGGAGATGGAGAAGGTCTTTCAGCAGACTCACTACCCGGATGTCAAGACCAGAGAGCAGTTGGCCTCATATCTGGTCCTCACTGAGGGGCGAATACAGGTACACAAAGAAATGTTCATGATCTACCCGATTCTGTTCATTTTTATTGTCAGAAGTCATTTAATGGATTCACCGTCTGATTTTATTTCACAAATAAAGTAAAACTGTTGCCATGCCTTAACATGCATTTATGATGCAATCCACAAGTAAAGCTCAAAAGCGCACCACTTTTCTGAAAAGTGAGAGGAATGAGAACAAACAATCTTCCGTCCTTTAGATGCCCGACTGGTGAATATTTTGTATGACGGGAAAAAAAAAATCTTATTTTGCTGTTCTGTTTAGATTTGGTTTCAGAATCGTCGAGCCAAATGGAGGAAGACTGAAACATTGAGAGACATTCAGCTGACAGACAGACAGCATACACATTCGCACAATAATTCCCGGTTATTTTATGAGGTAACTTTCAAATACATTATATATATCATATAAATGCACACACACTGGACACTTCGTTGGGTATCCCTGCACAGTTATAATGACATGCAATGTAAAATTCTGCCTTTTGAGGAGATGATAATACAGTACTGAGTTTTAAACAGCACTGTCGTAGCGTAGTCTTCATTTGACGTTATGTTTATTATCGTGGTTATGCATTGCATACCAGTAATACACAGAATTGTGACAGTACGTAGCAGTGGAGAGATGTCTCAAATGTGCAGGTTACCTAATGAATTGTCTTGTGATTGAATGCGTGCTTTTTTTTGTGTGTGTGTGTGTGTGGTGACATGAAACCACCAAATTACTTAAACAAATGTCCAATCATTGAAGTCAATTATCATCAACTAAGCTATTTGTGGCTGTGTTGGGACAACATGTCATCAACATGCACCCCTTTCTCCATCCATCAGAAACCACGGCTGGCAACAATGTGTTGGCTGCCACGTTGCTCACAGGAGTTGTTGCATTCAAGACTGCTCCTCACAGCAAAGTCACCTCCCAGCATGCTGGCCGAAACACATTTCTCACATCGCAGAAGTCCGTATTTTGACATTCAGACGGTGACCTGAGAGTGATGAAACGATTAGGTTGTGACATTAGCATCACAATGTTTTTTTTTATTGAAGGCTTTGATGTTTTTAAGCTAATTTACAACCTGGTTGTGCTTTTATGTCGTGGTCTTTCTTTACAATAAATGTCTTCTTTAAATATTAGAGTGAGTACTGTTGTGACTGTTTCTCCAAAGGCTAAATAAACACAAAATGAATTTCATTTTATTTTGTGCTGCAGTCTTGTGCAGGAGATGTGTTATTTTCATGACATCACATTCCTTTGTCAGAGATAAGATAATGCGCCGCCTATGTTCATCTGTTTGACCTTCTGACCACCGGTTCTTATCTTAATTTGAGCTTGTAAATTGAGGTTGCTCGCAGGTCAGCTGGGGAAGTTAGCAAAACATGAATGTGCAGCAACCGGTGAAAGCGATGGCCACAAAATTACACAAATGCCATAAAAAAAATAGTTTCATGTACTGTATTCATCTTGATGGCTTTGAATGTAAAATGGCTGTCGTTTACGATAAATCGTGCACAATTACACTGTTGTCAGTGTGGAAGGCAGTTATACACAAAGTTAAACATACTTAAGATAATAAACCATTTTACCTGAAATAATGAACTTTGAAGTAGCCCTCACAATAAATTAAAAAAGTAATCCTTTTTATCCTTTTGAATTTGAATTTTGGCTACAACATTTTACAAATCTGTAAATTTAGAATGCAAGGCATGGATGATAACAGTTAACCATTTCGGAAATCACCGTACCTAATGCAGCAGTTATTACATGAAATTTTCCAGCAGGCCATGTATCTGTATTTTATAGTGGTGGTCCTGAACTGTTCAGCATCATAGAACTGTCCCTAACGTGTTACCCCTCTCATGTAGCTAATTGAGTTCACCCAAGTATTAAACGGCATTGTCCCTCTTACTATGATGCAATGCGGTTCTACATGACTGCAACCATCCATCCATTAGTCGCCATTTAATAATGGGGCACCTATTTGCCGACAACAATTCACACCCATGGACAATTTAGAGTTTTCATTTAACGTAACATGCAGGTTTTTGGAATGTAGGATTGAAAATATTCCAACCCAGAACCTCACAACGTTTAGGCAAACATTCAAATCACAAATATTTCTAAATTATTCTTCATTTTTACAATGTTCCAGAACATTTGGAGTGTGTAGTTATTCTGTCACAGGCTATATGAAAGATGACATGATGTCTGCTGCTTTTCAAAGACTGAGGCATCCAACATGGATCCAACAATGACCCAGCCAACCCATATCCTTTTCTTTTGTGTGAGGGTATTGCTGGTAATTGCCAATTATAGCAACGCTGGCACAACACAAGCCACTCTATCAATACCATAAATGATTTGACAGGATAAGAGCTAATAAAATCTAACAAGGTTTTGTGTGAAGTTAAACTTTTCACCCCGGTTATTTATGTGTTTATAGCCCGCGTTACGCCATCGGTACTTTTTGAATGAGGCGTTCGTCACTAAATGCTTCAAACTATAAACTACAGTGGGTGGAGTTGAAAAATATGTACAGACACATAAGAGCCTAGAGGTGGCGCCCTTGCGCCCATGAATTAGCAGAAATGACGCCGTGTTTTCCTGAGTGACCTGGTTTGAAAAGCCCACGACTTCATCTATATGCCGCTACAGTTCTTCTGATGTCGTGTCTCATTTTTTAGGGAAGGAAAATATAAGATTTCGACCACATATTTTAATTTTCTGGCCGCTCTCCAGGAAAGGGGGCGTATATTCCGCATCCCCATCCTCCTCCCGATCGCCTCTGCGTTGTAGGGAGAGACCGGGAGGAGAACCGCAGACCAACAGGCTGGGTGGGCGGGGGGTGGGGGGACTGAGAAAGCCGGACAGTGAAGGGCGATGGCGGCCGGTGCGGGATGCGGAGAGTCCGTGGATCAATACCGGGCCGAGGTGGAACGGCTAGCCCGGGAGCTGATCGAAGCGAACGGGGAGAAGATTCGGGCTGCGGAGTGCGGGCTGGTGGTCCTGGAGGAAAACCAGGCGCTGAAGAACAAGTGTGCCGAACTGGAGAGCGAGCAGGAGGCTCTGAGGAAGGAGTTGGAACAATTACAAGAGGTAAGAGACTGGACTACGCTCACTCACTCACTCAGGGGGCGCCCGCTGCTGATGATGTCTAAGCACCTGTGTGGCGTGTGCTGGAGGTCAGTTGAAGAACCTGAGAGTTCATAGGCATCACTTCACTACCTAAAGTCTTTCTTAATTAAAGGAACTGTGAAAATGCTTTTAAGTCAATCGGGCATCTTTATTCAAGCTTTGTGGTGCTGCACTCAGTATAACCATGCATACATACAGTAATGTGTGCATACTCCCGATCTGTTACCTATTTCATTGATGACACTATACTGTTAAAAGGCAGGTGTGTCAAGCTCATTTTAATTGGGCCACATTTTGTGGTTTTTCGCAGAGGGCTGATGTGACTGGAAATGAGTTATCACCTCATCATATTATGAGAACACAGTTGCCCCTGCATTTCATTGTTAGGATGTGTTTATTTTTTTAACATCAAATTGAGGTTGAAATAAGATGTCATGGAAAATAGTGACAACCAAATATAACAACTAATACTCCATTTACGTTGAGAAGAGCTTTGGTGAAAAACACATCTGTAAATCTGTAAAATGTGAGCTAAAATTGTGATTTTGGTCCAGATTACCTGCAAAAATTAAAATAACAAATCTACTCTGCAAAAGCAAAGCAGACACACCTCATTTGCTTTAGTGGGTCACAAAAACATGACGTGCTTTGAGTTTCGCCGCTGTGCTGTTAGGGGTTCCCATTTATTTATTATATTTATGTTTCAATATATTCGGATTTACATGGGAAAGGAGAAGAGAGCCAATCTCTCTTTTTCGTTAATGGATGCTACAGCTTCTTGTTGCTTTCAAGCTTAGTTTGTAGTAGACGTGTGCACATTGCAGCATGATGTCTTTGATCCACTGGTGAAAAGGACACTTTGATTCGCTCCTCTTTCATCTATAACTGCTTCAGACAACAAAGTGTATGCAGGAAAGTGGTTAAGATTGCACGATTGTCTGTGTCTCATGTGTTGTCTTGTATTATTTTGTCATTTTTTGTTAACTTTTCTTTTGATGGCAGCGTGAGCACCCGCAGCGGCTCTTCTTGTTGCATGTTGAGAGGGAATAAATTTCATCTGTGCTGTAGCACATTTGACATTAAAGTTGTATTCAATTCAATTCAATATTCAATTCAATTCAATTCAATTCAATTATGATAGCATTTCTGTGGAGTGTAAAACACCGGGTCTATAATTTAGCCTTGCAACGCATAACATAATGTATTTTATTTGTAGGGTGTAAGAACATGGTGGAACAACAGGGCTATGGAGACAATGGAAAGGTTGGTAACGGTTGCTGTATAAAATATTGCCGATTCCTCACACCCAGGGAGAAATAAAAGGATAACTCATTCAATGTATGAGTATATATACATTGAATGAGGGAGGTTTTGCACACACTCTTTGTCTATGTTAAGTCTTCATCTAACATGTATACTATTTCATAATGGATATACAAAAGTTTGGAATTGGATTTTCAAGAAGCACCTGTAAAGGTCTAAATAGCATTGCTGCAAAAAAGTCACAATATCATCATCATTCTTCAAGCTGTTTTTCACATGGACATATTTATTACAGTGGAATGTCTCAGGCCGAGCACAACATGTCCTGGACTGTCAGTTGACCTTTGATTTGGTTAGATTTAGATCGACACCATGGTGGGTGGTGTATGATCTATGATGAATATCATGAGATGAGTAAACAACCGATGACAACTGTTGATGACTAAACTTTGAAACTCAAGGAGACAGACAACACTGCATTTCTCACAGCGATAATAACATCACACAATTGTCTGACATGTTTGTGAGATAACAATGAGTAACAGAAACAACATAAGGTGAGAATAAGTGTGAGTATCTTTAGTCAAATGTAATAAAATGATCACATTTATTTGGATGTGACTCATCATGCATCGCAAATGAATTTGTATTTCCTTTTTCCCACATTCCAAACACGCGCACATCACGTTAAGTGAGAACTGTAAATTGCTTATTGATTTATGTACACAATTGCCTGGCAACCAGTCCAGGGTGTATCACGCCTCTCTCCCAAAGTCAACGTGGACAGGCTTCAGCTCGCCCATGATGTTAATGAGGAGAAATACTGGAGACTAGAATGATGGAAGGATCTTACCAGATGGTAGAATAGTGGTTTGCATGTCTGTTTCACAGTCACAGGATCTGGGTTCGAATCATGACTCTGGCCTATCTGTCACAAGTTTGAATGGAATCCTTCCTTGAACAGAAACTTGCTTGTGAGGTTAAGTGAAAACTCGAAGATGCGAATGTGAGTGTGAATGTGAATGGTTGTTAATAAATGAATGGATGGATGGCCCTTACTAGATACTTTGGGAATTCACAGCCATGTTTTTTTATAACTGTCTGATGTTATGTTTGATGTAACACTAGTGGTAGCAATTCGGAGGGTCTGAGTTCAATTCTTGGCTCTGATCCTGCTGTGTGGAGTTTGCATGTTCTCTTGATGTGAGTGTCGGCTTTCTGTGGCTTACATCAACGTTCCAGAAACATGCATGTTAGGTTCATTGAAGACTCTTAGTTGCCCATAGGTATGTGTGTGTGTGTGTGTGTGTGAGTGTGTGTGTGTGTGTGTGTGAGTGTGTGTGTGTGTGTGTGTGAGTGTGTGTGTGTGTGTGTGTGAGTGTGTGTGTGTGTGTGTGTGAGTGTGTGTGTGTGTGTGTGTGAGTGTGTGTGTGTGTGTGTGTGAGTGTGTGTGTGTGTGTGTGTGAGTGTGTGTGTGTGTGTGTGTGAGTGTGTGTGTGTGTGTGTGTGAGTGTGTGTGTGTGTGTGTGTGAGTGTGTGTGTGTGTGTGTGTGAGTGTGTGTGTGTGTGTGTGTGAGTGTGTGTGTGTGTGTGTGTGAGTGTGTGTGTGTGTGTGTGTGAGTGTGTGTGTGTGTGTGTGTGAGTGTGTGTGTGTGTGTGTGTGAGTGTGTGTGTGTGTGTGTGTGAGTGTGTGTGTGTGTGTGTGTGAGTGTGTGTGTGTGTGTGTGTGAGTGTGTGTGTGTGTGTGTGTGCGTGTGCGTGTGTGTGTGTGTGTGCGCGTGTAGCTTATGGATCCTGTTTTGGTGCCCAGCACAAGTCTAACGTAAAGTCAAACTGTGAGCATGGGTGTTGTTTTCTCTCTTTTGGTATTTTCGCAGATGAACGCTTCTGAACTTTTGTCTCATGATCTAAAACCCAAATGCCTTCAGTGCACAGCAAAAACAAAGGAATTGACCTTGTAGTTCCAACACAGATACACTCGCTGGTGACTCAAACAAGTGCACATGAGCAATCTAAAGACGTTCTAAAAAAGGGCTGTATGAATCCTTGAGCCTTCACATACACAACTAGTCATTAGTTTTGAATGACCCTGTCACCATTTAACTGTTTTTTAACCCTTCCATGGCCCTCTTTAGTCAATTCTGATTTTTGCCCCTCAGTATGATGCAAGTCAGTTCTATATGAAATAAAAAAGAAAGAAAGAAATAATGTCATCGATACCTACTGTGCATCCGTTGAGATCGTTTCATGTGTTCCTGCCTTGTGAGCCCAAAGTCTCCCTGTCTGTCTGTGTGTCATTCGGTGCTTACGCTTGGCACAGGGAACATTTTCTGGAGGTGATATTACTTCCACAAAAAAAAACACCCCTGGGTCTTATCTGTCGCACGCTTCTATCACTGTAGCAGAGTGCAAGCCTTCCACTACAATAATATCACATCCATTCCCCCTGCTCTCTGCTTTGCATTGTAATACGGCAGGGAACCTTTGATGGAATCTGATTCAGTTGTTGTATGGCCTATGAATCTGGAAAATATTAGCATTGAAAACCCAATATGCATTACTTTCATGATGTCTCACCATTATTATTTTTTAAATGAATAGACCTAGAAATCTTTTAGTTAAAACTATACACCTGCAAATGATCACGTCATCTCTTGTATTCAGCTTTGTGTTAGTTAGCAAGTAGATGGCAAAGATAAACCCTGCTGACCTCACCACGAGGCAATACAACAGCATGATAACGGCATCATAGTAAAGAAAGCGTACTTGGCATTCACCCAGTCGGCGGCAGTCGTAGCACTGGCCATTTGCATGAGACAGACAAACACCCTCAAAACAGGGGGGAAAAAAAGTGTGCTGTAATTCTTGATCCAAGGTATTTTGACCAAACCATGTTACAAACATGTGATTAAGACAGTTTAAATAATAAAATAGACAGGGTCTTTATGTACTTGTGTGAAATGAATTTCAGGGCGGGGAGATTTACACATATGTCTTTCTGCAATAACACTTGTTCTAATATTCTGCCCTCAGTTCACTTCCGAGCTGATGATTGTGTGTGCTCAGGTCACACACATACTGCACATACACGGTTGGAGCTGCTGCAAGTAGAAAAGAAAACATTAGGTACACTTTGTGTTTGGGGACTGAAAGTGCTCTTGGTCTTAAGTCTTCTGCGCTGATATATTCTTCTTTTCTCTCAAACACACACACACACGAACACCCTTCCCACTGCATGCCCCCCAGCCCAATCACTCTCTCCATCCTGTATGCTCTGGATGATGCTGGATAGTTGCCTAATCCATGGCAGGGGCCCCTTTATTCAGTGGTTCAAGCTTGTTAGTGCTGTCTCTGGCCAGATCAACCTCAGGCAGGACAGTGGAAGTGGAAGGAGGAGGAGGAAGAAGAGGGTGCAGTGACTGTGAGAGTGAGACAAGCTATTCTGCCTCAGCACTGTGCTTGTATGGCTTTACAATGATGTAGACATTTTTGCAATTATCTGTACTAGGATGATCAGTGAGCTGGATGACTCATGGATGTTTGTTTGCGACTATCCACAGACAGAAAGAGAAATTGCATCTTCATTTGTTGTAGTATGTCTGCACGAAATGTGTCAAAGGAGCTTTATGAGTCATTTTGGACATGTTACTGTGCCTGCAAGATACGGCGCGTCTTTGTTTTGTTTCCTGCAACTTGGT